TGGTGATGTGAGAGCCTGGTCCGGTGAGAACCCGGCGTGCTCCGTCCCGGCTTTGTAGGGATGCGAGGTCAATGGTCTAACGACTACGGCATGCACGACTATGATTCCCCCCCCCCCTCCCCCTCTTCTCTTTCTGCGGCTGCTGCTGGTGTCTGTGGTTTCTCAGCTCTCTCTCTAAAGCAGCCGCTGCCCTCTCCGGCGATCTTATCCGTGGCTTTGTTCTCCCTTACCGTGTTCTCGAAATTCGGTGCTTCCGACGTAGCTGCAGGCCTGCACACTTTCTTCTCTATTGGGGGAGTGCCTCGCTCACGTGCTTCCGTCTACGTCCCAAAGCGTTTTTTCCATGCCGCCGTCGGCGCTTGCATCGGTTGTCGGTTCTGCGGATCGCCCGGGTGGAATGCTGTTTTGCTTTCCTTTTTTGTTTTGGGGTAACGATGCGTTGGATATGTTGTCACCGTTTCTATTGTTGTTGCGGCTTGCTGGCCTCCTTCTATCTCCACCTATCAGAACATTCCACCAGCAGCACCCCTTCAATTGTTCCCCCTCTCCTTCACCCTCCGACAGTTTCGGATCCACCACGTTGCTCTTGGTTACTTCTGTATTCCTACGCGCAACACGCTTCGCGTTTTCGCTCTTTATTCTCTCCTTCACATTCCCCGCGATGGTTTCTGGTGAAACCTTTGTCCCTTGTTCTGAAATTCTGCGGGGTGCTGTTATAAAAACTTTTGAGGGATGCCATGCCACACACATGTCACACACACTGTACCCCTTTCTTTCCTGGCTTCGCGTGAGACGGTATTCGTTCGTCTTTGCTCCACGCGAGCTCGAGCGACTGCTGTGATGCAACGTGCTACCCATGGTACCTGGCGGGCAACCGTATTATCTTTGTCTCGTTCATGATGTCCCATGGTCTGTACTCTATGTAGTCCCTTTTGTTTTGCACGTTTTTTCTCAGGACAGCGGTATTGTTCGTTTCATTTGATTACTGTATGCCGAGTGCGATTCTTTGCACGGGAAAACCCTTGCTTGATTCTTTTGGGATAATCGTGCGTCTCGGCGCATCATTTACACATAGTGCGTGTCTCGTTCGGCGTTCTGTTCTCTGATATTCTGGCTCGTGCTTATGCTCCGCACGTTAGAATATTTTCCCGCCCTGCCGGTCGTTTGAGTTTTTTTTTTCCCATTCAATTTCGCTCCCGAGTGGTAGTCCGGCGTTCTCTTTTCGGTACTCGGGCTCGTACCTATGCTCCGCGCTTTAGGTCCTGTTGCCCGCTCTGCAAGTCGCTTGCGCTCCATTCAGTTTTCCTCTCGATCGGCGTTCAATGATGATTTCCGCCGCGTTCAGATTCTACGGGTCGTGTGCGCTCATTCCCTGTTCAGTTCCGCTCTCGCTCTGCGTTCAATTATTTTTCAGTCATGTCAGCCGCGTTCAGGCTTCAGCTCAGCTTACAGTCTTCACGATCATTCGCGCTAAATTGACGGTCACCACGCTCATTTCTCAGCCAGTTCACGGTGGTCCGCTCGTAGGTCTTGTTTCGGCCTCATGTTTGCACGTTCCATGGCGGTTCTCGCACGCTCTGCTCGTAGGACCTAGGTTTTCGGCCTCATGTTTGCACGTTCCATGGCGGTTCTCGCACGCTCTGTCGCAGCTCTCCGACACTCTCGGGTTAGTCCAGAGCAGTTTCTCATGTTGCCATTTGTTCCCGCTCTGCGTGTACCCATGGCGCCCTTTCACGTGTTCCGTTCGATACTTATCCTTCGCTAGATCAAGGCAGCATTCAGCGCTCTACTCTGGCAGACGGCCCGCCTAGAGCAAGTACCGTACATGATGCCAGCGCAGAATTCGGCCTTGTTGCAGGAGGTTAGCCGTATGCTCGCCGAATTACAAAAACAAGCGATCCTCGACGGGAACATGGAGACGGAGCGCCACTTTATCGCGAGCCTCGACGCTGGCTAATAGCACGCCATGCAAGGAGGGCAGTATGATACTGCCGGTATGTGGATGCATACCGACCACTTAGCACCTCGGAAGAGAGTCAGCGTAGACCGAGCTGCTGTCATTAAGGAGCTTAGTGCTGTAGCTATGTTCGTCAATGGAGCAAAAAGAAAGGGTGGGGGTAACATGTCTTGGGGTGGGGCCCCAATGCAGCCGGTCACGCTAGCCCTTCACTACGGCGGCGGCTGCGGCAGTCAGCAGGCACCGGCGTTCCCCGCGGGGCCAGCGTGGTCCGGCCCTGGCATCCACGGTCAGTATGGGCCTCTGCGTAGTCGTGCGGGGGGTGGGGGCCGTGGCGGTGGCGGACCCCGCAGGCAGCCCATGTGCGCGAAGTGTCGGGCGGCCGGGAAGCAGGGGTAGGACATCATCCATTCGTTCCGGGTGTGCCCCCTCACGCAATGCAATAAGGGCCAGCAGTTTGGGCACATTCGCAGGCACTGCCCGAACTGATAGCGGTATTCCCAGTAGTCTATGCGGTGATGCCGCTCCGGGTTAGTTGGAGCGTTCTGTTCTCGAGTTTGCCCGGTAGCGTGTGCGTTGCTGCCGTTCGGGGTCAGTAGGAGAGGTTTCATTTCTTTTTTGGTTCTGACTCTCGTATGTACGCTGGGTCTGTTTCTTCCCATGTTCCCGAGGTGCTAGTGATGCTCACGTTGGGGTGGTTGTTTGTTTTTCGCAACCTCGGCCCGCACTTTTTGTCTCGCTATTCCTTTAAGATGCGATGTTCTTCTCCTTTTCACCCTCTCAAGGCGACGCCAGGATTCGTGCGTCCTGGCCGACCGATGCACCCGCGATACACCTCACCCTCGTTGACACACCTTGCGAGGGACAGAGGACACGGAGGAAGGACGTTTTCGCTCTGGATTCCCCTTGGCCATTGTACCCAGATGTTATCTTATTTTCTTGCAACATCTCTTAATTTTAACCACCTCTCGTACACCACCGCACGAGTATTAAATCACTGCTAGCCACTCACTATGCAATCTTCGGACACCTCTGCACTTTGCCCCTTTTCTTGGCTCGGACTTTGGTCGACGGTGAACGCGCGGAACGCTTTTGTTTAGGTTTTCGTGGGCCGCCCCACCACACACGAGCGTGGGGGGCTCTAACTATTTATCATAAAGCATCGGTGCCATTACGCCTTCGGGCGGTAACGGAGACACCGCTTCAAACGCTCTATTGGTTTCTCGACTCGGCGCTGTACAGCCCCTCCTACACATATCCTACATACTTTGGCATCATACGTAAGTTGGATCTGAGGCAGATCGTTTTCTAGCCGAGCGGGCACAGCGCACCGCCACAGTTCGCTCACAGCTCGAGGGAGGTGACATCCTGAGCGAAACACAAGCGCGCAGCTCCACCGTCGACCTTTCAAACACGGCATCGCTTCTGCCCAACAAAACTGCACCGCACCAAGCTCGGATGTGGGTGACAGATGACTGTGTGCCAGCACACCTGCAAACGGCCGATATTTTGCCAGCCACTCGGGCGGGCGAGTGGGACACCCTTTTGGGGATGGGCAAAGGGTGTCAGCGAGTACGATTTCATTGACCAGGACGCACGGGGCATTTTTCAAGGCCAACTTAATGTTCCGACCTTACGTCAGTACACTTGCCCAACCATGTTCCAACTGAGTGCCACTCGTGGGTCACCACCGAAGTAGACGCCCTCGTGAAGAATGGATGCATTGCTCGATGGGCCGATGTCGCGGATACGGACGTTTACACCAAACCGCACATGGTGTTGCCCCTGGGAGTGGGACCCAAGAAACCGAGGGTAATATGTGACGCGCGATGGCTCAACTTGATGTGCTTGCATTCCCCTTTTACCATGGACGGGGTCGGGAAAGTAGCTCAGTGTACTTGGCGTGGGGCACACCAGGTCACCATCGACCACAAAGCGGGCTGCCACCATGTCGCGCTGCATTCCGATTCCTGGCAATACTTTGGTTTCGAATGGAACGGCGAGGTCTATGTGTTCACGGTGCTCTGCTTCGGTTGGTGTTCGGCGCCTTTCATGTATTCCTCGCTCTCCGATTCGGTAGCCAGGTATTAGCGGTCACAGGATATGCCGGTCTTGACATGGATCGACGACTTTTACGTGACGAATTTCCGGTCCACTCGCCTTTTGCAGTCCACGGAACAGTTTGAGGCCGCCCAGGCGGCGGCATACCTGGGGCTAGAAGTGTTTTATCGGGCTGGGTATTTTATCTCACTCCCCAAATGCGTGCTCAAGCCCACTACACGCCTGGTGTTCCTTGGTATCGTTTGTGGTTCCGGTGAGTGCCGATCTGAGGCGCCAGAGGATAAGTTGGAGAAGCTTGAGGCGATCTTAGTCGACGATATAGGGTCCAACGCTATTTCTTTTCATATGCTTGAGAAGCTTGCGGGCATGTGCACGAGCCTGTCGGTGGCGGTGCCGGTGGCGGCTCTATAGACTAAGCGCACCACATGCACAAGTAGATCGTCGTTTTCCGACTCACTGGGGGGTGGATTTCTGTACCTCCGAACAGCGGTCTGATGTTCAAGCTACAGCGGTGGCTAGATGTTCGGACGCAGTTTAACGGAGCGTCGTGGTACCGGGCCGAACATAAGGCGGTGTCCTGGACGGGGGCGTCGGCTGCATCCTCTACCGGATGGGGCGGTGTGATCCGCGGTGTTAGTCCAGACGTGTTTGAAGCAGGGGGCGGTTTTCCGCCAGAGCTGGCGAGCCAGCATATCCATGTCCAGGAAGGGTATGCTTACACCAGACGTTGCAGCTGTCTGTGCTGTACGAACCACCCCGGCCGCATTGCGGGGTCAACTCTCGTTGTCGACGTGGGCAATAAAGTCCTGCACGATTCCTTCAAGCGCGGTCAGGCACGAAATACGCACATGCATGCAACGGTTTCGGACCTGTTTTGGTTGCAAGTTCGACATGATTTCACGCTCAAGTTACCATGGGTGTGCTCCGCGGACAACTCTGAAGCGGGTGGTATGTCACGGTCCGGATCAGACGAACATGTAAGGCTGGACGAAGCGCGATTTGGCGACTTAGGCTATGCGCTTGGAAGGGTGGTTTAGACATGGACTTGATGGCCACGTCAGCGTCTGTACATAAGGTATGGCTCGAAGGGGGATGCAAGGGGCAAGACTTGCCGTTCTACTCTCGGTATCACACTTCAGGCAGTGCAGGGGTGAACATGTTTAGCCAGGACATTAGGTGTATGCCGGGGTCGAAGCAGATGTGTTTCGGTTTGTGCTTTCCTCCGACAAACTTGGCAGGAGTGATGTTACAACACCTCGAAGAGTGCGAAGCACGGGCAGTGGTGGTAGTACCGGACCAGAAACAGTCGTGGTTTCCGAGGCTGGCGAGCGCCGCGGTGCGATCCAAAACCCTTTCTGTCCCGGGGGGGATTTCGCCCTTCTTTCGTGTTCACCATAAGAGAGAGCAGGAACGTTTTTTTTTCAAAAAATGGGGAATGATTGCAGTTGAGGTAAAAATTGTTCAAAGCTTCTTTTCCCACCATTCGCCGTAGACTATGTGTCGGCGTTTCTCTGTACGACACGGCTATTCGAGTTATTGTCAGGCTCTGACGGTCATATATGCCGCCATTAGTCTCGTCATGAACATATTGGGCACTCTGCTCACCCCTGTACGAGGAACATGGGGCGAACAAGGATACGTTCGTACGCTGGGGCGAGTGTCAGCATCGAGGGGCAGAGTGCTGTGCCCAGCTTGTCACGGTGAAAACGATGAGAGCTACTGCTGTTGTCAGTGGTGCGGGAGTTTAGAGATGAGCGATCACCAAAGGGTGTACAAGGACGCGCCACTGCAGGTCGACGAGAAAGCTCTGTCGCGCCGATAACTGCAGTTTACCACCGCTTGGTCAAAGAAAGCATCAACCAAGAGTGGATCAGCGACGTGGAATCTTTTTACTCGATTTCTTGAATCCAGGTTTGATCGTGAAACTACTTCCATCGAGGCAGCCCAGCCTAAAGACGTAGTTGAGTTTCTCTGTTGGTTAGATTCCTGTGGAGCCCGGCGCCGCACTGTGGTTCATACGCGTTACTGTTCCGCGGTGGGTACAAAGGATCTTACCGCATGTTCAACTGAGCCGGGAGCATGCACTTCGACACGCGATGATTCGCTCCGGTCTAATTCTGTGTCTAAATTGGCTATGGTGTTTGAGAAGGAGTTGGAGATCGTGGACACATGCAGCAGTACATTACAGGTTGGAAACCCAGTTCGAAGCGAGATGGTCAACCGATACATGGCATTTACTACGGAGGAGCAGAAACGGGCAGGGGTGCTGGTTAAGCAGGCGCCGGCGATCCTTCGTAGCCATTTAGACGCAATCTTGAGGCCTATGAGGGTGACGCTCCAAAACACCGCCTCAAAAACTGGAACGAATCACATTGGCTAGAGACATCGCCTTCTTTACAGTAACTTTTAGTACTACCATGCGGGGCAATAAGCTTACAGCGACAATTATTATCCAACGTATCTTGCGCCTGCCGAATCGAAGCGGAATCATGTTCAACTTCCAATGGGGGAAGACCCAGCGTGACGGGGCGGATCATTTGCTAAGTATACCCTTCGACGATGAGTACGTGGAGATATGCCCTGTTCGAGCAGCAACACAGCTGGAGAGATTGGGCGAGGAGTCCGCTGGGACATGACACAGGGATATCTGTTTTCAGACATCTCAGCAGGGCGCAACGGAATGCCGTCGAGGGCTCCTTTGCCCGTTACGGCACCAAAGATGACAAGTGCTCTGAAGAAGTACGCGCAAGCAGCCTTGCAGAAACAGGGGTTTTCGATGCATTCATTCAGGTCCGGGGGGGCTGTAACTCGCGCTCTTCAGGGAGACTCTTTGTCGGATATGATGCAGAAGGTATTATGAGGAACGGAGATGGGAAAAGATAAAATCGTGCCCAGCGCCTTCACGCAATAAAGAGACAATATTTGAGAAAGTCAGATGCGTCATCTCAATCTTCATTTGTCAACCCTGTTCCAACAGGAAAACAAAGGTTGCTCGGTTGAGACACCACCCACCCGCCGGGCAACGTATTTTCGCTCAGTTGTTCTCCAACAAACTTATCGTGAAGAGTTTGGAAATGAGTGTCAATCGCTACACTCATTTCCCTTCCTATTCACGAGGAGTGGATACACCGACCCTTGTGGGAGGTGATGCCGCTGTTTGATCCCATACTATCTGAGGAGAAGAACTGACGTGAAAATACTGATGGATTACAACCCTGGGGTTTACCGAGGTCCAACAGCTATAACAGGCTGAAGGACCCTGGTTGTACTTTTGTTGAGATGTACAGCATATCCACTATGCCACAGGTCAGCGCTGACTTGTAGCATGGTGGATATGCTTTACCATCTTAACAGATTAGTCTAGTGTCTAATGTTCGTGTGTTTGGACACGGACTGGTTAGATCTACCGGCAACAACAGAGGGCACGCAGATGGGGCATATGTACACCTTGAAATGGTTGCATGTGCGGGGACCCCTCGAACTCCAAAGAGGGTTTACTTCTCCCTACTCCCCTTGCGTGTCGAACACAAGAGATAAAACGTCTTCCCCTTCCAAGTAAAGGACATATACGAACACACTAGTGTCAGTCCCTCGAGGGAGAGTCCATTAGGAATGTCAGGTCGCAGTAATGGGGGTGACTCCTCCAGCGACTCTGCGGCGGAAGACAGAAAGAGGTCAAGAGAAGAGCTGGTGGCCCTGACGACGCAAGTTGGCTCGCTGACGGATCAGATGAGCCAGCTAATGTCGCTAGTGGAAGATACCATGAAGGCAAGCAAGAAGGAGGAGCCAGCTGGCACCATGGAGGGTGCCGCTGATCGCGGCGATGCTAGGGAGAGCGCCGCCCCGGAGTCCACGAACGCCGAAGGAGGGGCACCGTGGACCGGGAGTGCGCAGGACGGGAGGTACCTGCGCGAACCTGTTCGAGAGTCTGGCCCGTCAGGGCGACACAGCGGCGAAGCAGGGGGCTTTGTCCCCCAAGAGGTGAGAGTAGCCGCTGCTCACAACCAAGAGTATTGTAGTGCCATGGGAGATGATGGTGCTGCTGTTGGCTTTGGATACGGAGCCACAACCCCAGCGATGGGGTACCAAAGTGTGCGTTACACTTCTCGTCCGGTCAGCGGGAAATCGAAAGATTTCAACAAATGGCTTAATGATTTCCGCATTGCAGCTAATGGCGCAAACCTGTTGCAACTTTTTGAAGAGAGCGGGAGCTTGGAGATCCCGTCAACAGCGGAAAGAGCAAGTTTTCGCTGTCACAGCAGTACCGGAGCGAGCAAGTAGAGCTCGCATTCCACGCGTGGAACTTCCTGTCTCACGCGTTGAAAGAAAAAGATCGGAAAATCATGAAGAGGGCAGAGACGCCCCAGGGAGCTCTTCGTGAGCTCAAGACCATACACGACCCTGAATCATCTGTACAGCCGTCAGAGGACCTCAAGTCCCTGACGTCGACCAAGATCTCTAGAGGTGAAAACCCCCAAAACGTCCTCAATAAGATGCTCCGAACCGCAAAGTCCTTAACGGAGAAAGGACTAACTGTCAACGAAACGTTCGTCCTTCACCTCTTCCTGGATGCCCTTTCGGACGAGTATGCCATGACAAAGCACAACCTGCGACACGCGAAGGAGTTGACGCGGACCGGTGTGCTATAGGAAGTAATGATCGGATGNAACGAAACGTTCGTCCTTCACCTCTTCCTGGATGCCCTTTCGGACGAGTAATCCATGACAAAGCACAATCTGCGACACGCGAAGGAGTTGACGCGGACCGGTGTGCTATAGGAAGTAATGATCGGATGCAAGGCGATCAAGGACAAGCTGGAGCAGGGGAAAGGAAAAGGGGCGAAGGGCGCAGAGCAAGCGTACTTCGCCGACGGTGAGGGCCGCAAGGAGCGGTACTCAAGTAGGAGTCAGGGGCAAGGTCGTGGTCGTGGCGGCGGCCGTGGCCGTAGCAGCAGTCGTGGCCGCGGCGGAGGGGGCCGCGGCGGCGGCGGCGGCGGTCGCGGCGGCCGCTCAGGCGGATCCGGAGGAGTCGAGGAGAGCAAGGGAAGCAGCAGTGGAGGCGCCGATGGCGGCGGTGGCGGGGACTGTAAGTTCCCGGGCCGGTGCTTTAGGTGTGGAGATCGTGGACATGAAGCGATCGGCTGCACTACCAACGAGAAGGATTTCGTGCCGTGGTGTGCGCGCTGCGAGGGGTGGGGCCACACCAAAGAAAAGTGCGCGACGGAGGAGGCCGTCCTAGCGCAAGTGGTGGAGCATGAGAGCGACGTGGACTCCGTGGAAGACCAGGCGTTTTGTGCCGTGGCAGTCCCCCCAGGCGAGTGTGGTACCGTTGGTGAAGTAGGTCTAGTGGGGGTTGTGGAACAAGGCCAGGCGGTGTACGTGGCCGACACAGCGGCCACGTGCTCCATGTTCCGATGTGCAGACAACTTCGTGAACTACCGTGAGCGTAGCGGTTGGGTGAAGGGGATCGGAGGCGACAAGGCCCCCGTTCCTCTTCTAGGATACGGAGATGTGACCTTAGTCCTACAGACGGAAGATGGTGGAGTACCCGTACCAGTACTGAATGCTGCCCATGTACCAGAGGCCCCCTACAACCTCCTCTCGCTGTCTTCGTTGGCGGAGGAGGGCCACACGTATTCGGGGATGAAGGGGGGCCTCACGCTGACCACGAAAGCCGGGGGGGAGGTGTGGTTCCCCCGGACTGGAAAGCTGCTGACCCAACGAGGCTATCAAATAAAGCCAACGCTACACACCGCCTGTGCCGCACTCATTGTTCCTGGCGATGCGAAAGCAGCCAACCCCACTGACCTCAACGAGTACCACCTCGCGCACGGCCATGCCCACGAGACATTGCTCAGGATCACGGCGGAGCAGCAGGGAGTGCAGCTGACGGATGGACCGCTGCTACCCTGTCTTGGCTGTTCGATGTCCATGGGACAGGTGAAACCCGTCCAGAAGAGCACGAGCACACGCGCAGTTAAGAAGTTATTTCGCGTGTATCTCGACTTGGGGGGAAAGGTGAAAATCAGGAGCATTGGTGGCAACTGGTACACACTGATCATCAGAGATGATTTCTCCCGTTGGACGCGTGTTTGCTTCTTGAAACACAAGTCTGACGCAGCGGTTGGGTTTGAGAAGTTCCTGGCGGACTACCGAACGAAGGGGGTTCCGTGTGAGGTTAATATCGCACGTACCGACGGTGGCGGCGAGTTCCAGTTGCGGAAGTTTGCCGCAGACACGGCATCAAACAAGAGTTCACCCTACCTCACACCCCAAAATACAACGGTGTAGCGGAGAGAGCGCTAGGGTTGATCACTGATGCCGCGCTTGCGTCACGCATCCAAGCGACGCAACTGTTCCCCGACGCACCGAACCACCCCGGGTTGTGGGCCGAGGCCATTTCGTGTGCATGCCATCAGCTGAACTGCACAGCCACTAAATCAAACGAGGGAGACAAATCCGCCTACGAGATGTTCCACGACTCCCCACCGCCTGTCGGGTCTACATACCCGTTTCTCAAACCAGCCGTGTTCAAGTCGAGAAGAAAAGCAAAGTCGCAACCCAAGGGCGAAAAAGGATGGTACCTTGGTCCTGCCCACAATCACCCCCGTGACTGCGTTCGCATGCTAACCGAAGCTGGAACCGTACCACCACCCGCAATTTCACCTGGCACCACGTGCCTGCTGTATCGCCCGCTTCCCCGCAGCTACTACCTCTCGCAGATGACGAGGAGGGCGGGGACGGCGAGAGCAGAGCGAATGCATCACGCCAAGGTTGGGGGGGGACTCAGAGAGTGAGTCTGACCTCGACGTGATGGAGGCTCGTGGGCCAGGGCAAGCGACGCCGTTTGTGCGCGAGGAGGCGCCGACGGCACCCGGCAACGGGATTCCGGGGGACGGAGGCAGCGTTCCCCCGTCGCCCCCTTCGGGAAGGGGCGACTTCGGCGGAGGCATTGACAGCCCCACCGGCAGCAGCAGCAGCAGCCCGAGCAGCAGCAGCAGTGAAGCCGGCGGTGCNTGGCCGCACGCGGAAGAAGACCCGGGAGATACAAGGTGCCGGGGAGATGCCGGGGCCCGGAGAAACACCGGAACCGGACGAGGCATTGCTGGCGACCATCCCGGAAACTGGCGGGACGGGGATCGTTGGGGACTACATCTGCAACTCGCTTGTGAAGGAGAAGTGGGACGAGTAGCAGGCACGCCGTATGGAGGAGATGTACAGGCGCGAGATGCAGGAGGTGTTGGGCCCGGAACAGCAGTCGTTCGGGGCCGAGGTCGACGCCAGCGGGTCTTCGCAACCACTCCCAGACCTACGGCTAAGTATGACCTCGTCCATCGGGCAGAAGCCGAGTGATGTGGAAGCAGTACCGATGACGTACAAGGATGTGATGTGTTCCAAGTGCAAGGTTTTCTGGGAGGCGGCCATGAAAAAAGAGATAGATGACCACGACAAGACTGGAACATTTACCAAGGTCAAGGAGCTGCCCGAGGGGCGGAAGGCCATAGGTTCAAAGTGGGTGTTCTCTTGGAAGGCGAATGAGAAGTGCCTGATCGACTTCAAGGCCCGTATGGTTGCGAGGGGTTCTCTCAAATCCCCGGCATCGACTTCCACCACTCATCCTCAGTGTGCCCGTCTGCAGCGTCTATCACGACGGTGATTGCCGTGGCCACTGAAAGGGCAAGAAACTCGCTCGCTGGGATGTGAAGCAAGCGTACATCCACGTTAGATAAAAGAAGAATTATACCTCAGGTTCCCGGAAGGCTGTGGTAGCATGTCCGGTAAGGTGGTCAAGGTTGAGCGTGCCCTGTATGGCCTAAAGCAGAGTGGCCGTGAGTGGGGGTTTGAAGCTGCCGATGCCCTCATCGAGAATGGATACGAGCAGTGCAGGGTTGACCCGTGTGTCTTCCGGAAGGTGGTTGATAGAGAGGTCGTAGGTCTCATCGTGATCTACGTCGACGACATCTTCGTGGCGGCAGACGAGGGAGAGCGAGAGGTGCTGTTCGCTTCCCTCAACAAGAAGTTTCCGGTGAAAGATCTGGGGGAGTGTACCTGGTACGACGGGTGTGCTATCGCCATGGATGTAGAAAATGGCATTACCAAGCTGTCCCAGACAGCATACATTGAGAGTATGCTGAAGCGGTTTGATGTGACCACGACCGCTTTCACCCCTGCTGCTACCGATGCCGACCTAGGGCCGAAGAGAGATGACGAGCCCGCGGTGGATAAGCCTGTGAGGGAGGCGATCGGATGCCTGATGTGGACGAAGCTGACGAGGCCAGACATCGCCCTGCTTCTGAACAAGCTCCAGAAGATCGCCCACTCACCCACCTGGAGGATATGGAACGCGCTTGTGCGGATAATGTCCTACCTGAACTTCACGAAGGACTTCGGCATCACCTACGTACGGGNTTTTGTGACCACGGCCGCTTTCACCCCTGCTGCCACCGATGCCGACCTAGGACCGAAGAGAGATGACGAGCCCGCGGTGGATAAACCTGTGAGGGAGGCGATCGGATGCCTGATGTGGACGAAGCTGACGAGGCCAGACATCGCCCTGCTTCTGAACAAGCTCCAGAAGATCGCCCACTCACCCACCTGGAGGATATGGAACGCGCTTGTGCGGATAATGTCCTACCTGAACTTCACGAAGGACTTCGGCATCACCTACGTACGGGGGTCAGGACTAGACCTAAGCGTCTTTGTCGATGCCAGCTACGCTGACAACGAAGTAGACAGGCGTTCTACGACCGGGCTAGCTATGACCGTAGGTGGTACCGTAGTGTGTGCATCCACCAAGACGCAGCCAGCGTTGGCTCAGTCGACCTCGGAAGCAGAGTGTATGGCAGCCGGGGAGGGCGTGAAGGAGGCGTTGTTTGTGCGTGGCGTTCTGTCGTTCATAGCGCCCGAGACGAGTGGGACGAAGATCAAGGCCCTTGAGGACAACAAGGGGGCTCTCGCCTTAATCGACAACCCGTCCAGCTCAGCGAGGAGCAACCCCATCGACGTGCGGTTCCATTTCATTCGCGAGCTATTCAAGTCGGGCAAGATCACTGCAGAGTATGTTCCGACTGGAGAGCAGCACGCCGACATGCTAACCAAGGTCCTTGGCAGAGAGAAGTTAGAGTACCACCGGAAGGCTCTGATGAACCTACCGATGTAGTGTTATCTTGTCCTGTTTGGTTTAGGTGGTGGTTTTAGCACTTTGCATATATGACCATGGTACATCACGCAGGAAGCGTTGTGCCGGCGCGTCACCCGCGGCTGGAGCCTAGAAACGCCGAGAGCGTTGCTTCGGGTGTGTAATAAGCTTGACCGGTTCAATCTGTCCTGCCTTGGTCTTGTCCTGGAAGTGCGGCCGTTGGAATCCCTCGTGATAGCGACGGGTTTCTATATTTAGGGTGTTAGACGAGGGTTTTTGATCCGGTTGGCCGGGTTTTCCCTCGAGCCTGTTGTTGTTTTGAGTCCCTTTGGTAGATCAGGGG